CAAAATCATATAAGAATATTTGAATTTGAACATTCAAATGAAAATAGTATGCTTCCCAAATACAAATAAAGATTTGATTACAATTAATTCTATTATCATTCAAATGCATACAAATAAAATTCATATCACTAATAATAATAACAATTAATAATAATAGTAGTAACTTATTGGTAATAATACTAATAACAATTAATAAAAGTAGTAGTGGTGATACTATTTAGAATCACACGATATAAGTGCTTCCTCACTCTAAGCGTAGGGTTTAGTATTTCCGTCGCGCTAGCATGCGGCTAGGTTGGGCTGATTTTCCGGCACCACTTTAGGGGGCAACGTCGCAGCTCCGACTAAAGCGTTTGGATAGCATGTGCGACGTATGATGCTGGAACTGTTGGGTGCTGTTTTTCTATTTTCTTGGCTGACGTAGGAGGCATGTGCGTTGGAGATTTGGTGTGCATACGTGAGACGGGGCATACGCGAGACGACGAATGTTGCTGAAAAAAATGGACAAATGTGGAGGCGGCAAGGACAATGAGTAGATGAGGAGCGGTGAAAGGATGAACAAGCTAAGGGAGAAGACAGATCGACGGTCCCCTCTCTTAAGCCGCCGCCTGGGCCGGGTCTTCTTTTCAAGTCATGTCATTAAAGTACTCTATTTTTATTTTTGGCTTTTCATTTAATTCGTTTGGATTATGCTTTTACCGGGTTGTGTTTTCCCGGGGTGTCTCGTTTAATTTTTACTTTTGGCATGTGGCAAGTAAGCATAGGATAAGTGACGAGAATACATCGTCAATAAAGTGTGGCATATTAATTTAATTATCTTAATTTTACTTACATTTTTAGATTTATTAAGCTTTATATTGTTTTCTTAAACATATATGTATAATGACTAATCTAATTTCTTATTACTCTGTGGTGCTATCTTTTTAGTTTATGAATGATTATGTCTTATTTTTTACATTTCAAAGTTTGGTTTTGTTTAATTTGTGTAGTTTTGTGCTATTTAATTTATACATTTGTGGTTAGATATTTTGTTAGCTAATTCAATACTTTGTTTAAAGTTTTATTGTGAATTTTTAATGTATTATGGTGACATTTATACTTAATTAGATTGAAAACTTTATTACCTACTAGATATTTTATTAGTGTAGCAGTATTTTTTTAGAACAAATCCTCACCAAACTGACCAGTTTCAAATGGGGCGGGTAAGGTCTGGTGACTTGATATACCTGGACTGAACCTACCCGTTAAATAAAACCTACGGTTCTAAAAAATTTATCAACTACCTGGACTAGGGCTGTTAACGAGTCAAACCGAGCCCGAACAGCCAAAGCTCAAGTTCGGCTCGATAAAGAATAAATGGTGTTCGGGTTCGAGCTCGAAGCTCGACAAGCTTTACAAATGAGGCTCGTGTTCGGCTCGATAGGCGTTCGATGTTCGAACCGAGCGCTCGATAAGCTCGATAAATATGCTCGAATTTAAAATTTTAGGTGATGCTCGTTGATAGGCCCATGCTCCAATGATTTGACAAGTATTCGGTTTGTTAATAATCATATTTAAATTCATAAAATCATACTAATTATATTAAATTTTGACATATATATAAATTATATTTATAATTTCAGGTGTTCGATAGGCTCGAGTTTGAACCGAGCCGAATACTACTATGTTCGAGCTCAGCTCGATTAAGTTTTCGAACTTAAAACTCAGCTCGGGTTTGAGTTCGAAAGCTCGTTAAGTTCGGCTCGTTAGATTCGAAATCGAGCTCAAACTCAAATAGTTCGATAAAAGTTCAGTTCATTATCTACCCTAACCCGGACAATGCCCACCCCTAGTAGGGAAGGGTGGAATGACATGGTGATAGAGTCAGATGCTCAAGTGATAGTATAGGGGATCAAGAAAGGTGAAGGAAGTTCTTACCCAGATTTGATTATTGACGATATACGGCAGTTACTTTAAACAAAGAGTAATTTTAATATTTGTTTTTGTAAACAGTTTGTGAATCGTGTTACCATGCGATTGCTTAGGCACACGTATCCATCTTAGATCAGAGTAATATTTTTACGTTTATTCCTGATTTTCTAGTAATCCCGATGACGAACGATATTCTTATTTAATGAGATGTTTGATTTTCTTTCAAATAAACTTGCTTCTTAATAATTAGAGTAATCAAATGATGCATCATTATTCATTAAGACAATAAAGTTTGGGAGAACTATGAAATAAGTCCTCAAACTTTCATAAAAAGTGTAAATAAGCTTTTTTACATGAGGTTTTGTCCGGATGTCGTCATTTGGGGCGGTTTTCGGTGGTTTTTTTTATGAAAGTTTTTTAGCATCTTTTTCATTAAGTCTAGTTTACCCATACCAAATTTCAGCCAAAAGTTCAATCGAGAAGGCAGTCAAATGATTTTCTGAAATATACTGCGCTGTCTAACTGCGCAGTTATCTTCCGAAATTTATTTGACTGCCTTCTCGATTGAATTTTTAGCTGAAATTTGGTATAAGTAAACTACACTTAATGAAGAAGATGTTCAAAATTTTCATAAAAATAATCCATCGGAAACCTCCCCAAATGGCGACGGCCGGACAGCACCTCCTATAAAAGGGCTTATTTGCACTTTTTATGAAAGTTTAAGGACTTATTTGGAAGTTCTCCCATAAAGTTTCACTTTTGATTACAAATAGATTTGTATTTGGATTTTCACCATATTTCCATTATATATAAAGATTTCGTTTATTTATTATAGTTTAAATACTCGGTACATTTCGTTTAGTTAGAATCTTATGTTGAGAAATTCAGTCCCAAATAGGATTTAATCCCACTAAACATGATAAAATTCATAGAATCAAACAATAAGAACACTAACCGGTTGAGGAGAAACCGAACGTTGATGGTGCCGTAGAAGATGATGAAGCCATGATGTTCAGATTCTCTAAGGATACAAAACTGATTTCTGATGGATTGAACGGTTCTCCCTTGGGTCTCTTATTATAGGTGTTCTTGAGACTCTTAGGAATGAATGTGTTTGTTCGTTTTGTCGTAAGAATTGAATGGACGGATGCCTTTTATATTTTGTATCAAATAGAAACTCATTTGGTCCCTTATGTATTATTTAATGTTAAAACATACCCTTCATATGTTAATTATACATAAATACAGGGACCAAATCTGTCATATGACAAACTTAATGGTAAGACATAAATGTCTCCAATATAAATTTGTTGGGTTAATGGCCCAATAAGGGCCGGTCCATAACCCTTAAGGACCGCCTATAAGGACCAGGAGACGTACGTGGTCCAGCATACCCCAGTATTGGGCCAGGGGACGTACATAGTCCATCGTCAGCCAGTACCAGGGCGCAATGACCAGGGACGTACGTCCTATGGCCCCTACCACAGGGATCAGGCTGCCACCAGAAGATTGGGTCCAACCCTGAGGGACGAACGTCCCCTTCCCATGGCGGGAAACCAAGATCCTGGCGGGAAACGCATTAAATGCGAGAGATTTGGTGGTTGGAATCATGTCACCCACGGCCAACCACGTCAGCACTCCCAACCACTCATGGGTAGTATAAATAGTCGCATTTGTTTCATTGTAAAGGGTTCGCAATTTGATGTTCAAGCATTGTAGCAGTAATAACAGCTCATAGCATAGTACGTCCGGGCGGTCCGGCCTTTCGGCTTGTAATCGTTTGAGTGACTAAATACAGTTGTTTGGCCCTTTTTCTGCTTATCTCTTCATATTACTTGTCCTTCACACATTCGAAACCCCCAGGTTACGTGTTGAGCTTGCGGGTTGAGGGAATAAACCTCAACAATATTAAATTATATAAATGATCCTAGGGCATTTAAATACTCCATTCGTTTCAGTTTGTTTGACACATTTTCATTTTTTGGATGTTTCAAAATGAATGACACACTTCTTTATAAAATTTACTTCTCAGTAACTTTTTTGCCTTAATTTTTGACAAGTCAAACTATGTCATCCAAATTGAAACAGAGGGAGTAGAATATTTTCCAACATCTTACTAATCATTACATTTATTTTAGTCGATCTTCCTCAGATTTCAAATAGCATGACAAATGTTATAACAATGGAACTTATAGTTAAACAAAAACAACTGGTTATCCATAGTGAAAAACCGCATCAAAAGGCAAGATACTATGTATATAAAATCAAAATTACAATGTGTGTATGTGTATGTGTATGTGTATGTGTACACACAAGAACAAATAAGTCCTAACATATTAGAATACAAATATTCAAATAATATTGAATAATATTCAAATAAATAACCAAGTCAAATATGAATTCTACAGAAGTACAAATGCAAATCAATAATTAAATTATCAAATTCAGTTCTAATAAATAAATATTTGACTAGCTCGGTTCAATTTGTATCTAAACTTTTGAGAAATTGTCCTAAATAAGAATAAATATGTTTATATATACCAAAACGGGACTATCGTACTTTTATTTCCTAAATAGAAGTAATTATTGTCATATTTTGACAGTACCAATTTTTTAACACGGCAGTATTGTTCGAGCTTGATAGTATTTACTCTTATTTAGAGAATAAAAAATACGACAAACATATTTTGAAATTTTCATACGTGTTTAGTCCAACTTCGGAAATTTTTCCTACTTCTTCATAGAGTATTACGATTATTTTACAGGTAGTACTCATCACCCACTATTTAATTTTACCGCATTGAATTGCGAAATACATAGTATTTTTTCCTTTGACTTACTAAAATACCGTTTTACTCAGAAATAAATTTTACTTTGTATTTCACTGTTTTATTTGAGGATAGTATAGTAAATTAATATAAAACCATTTATCAAATAGGGAGGTGAGACTTTATTTAGGACATTCATAAATGAAAACTGAGAATTCTTTTATGGGGGCAATACCAAAATTGATCGACTTTGACCTTTATAGCCATATCCAAAAAGCTTATATAAACAAAATGGAAATTTCCATAAAACAGAGAGCAAACTTAAAATGGAAAATAAATAAAAGTTGCAGCGCATATTCATAGGACATAAGACCGTTGGTTTCAAATTTAACACTCATAAATCATCTTCTCCAACAACTGAGCCGAGTATCCGAGAGGCAGAAACCGAGACCGTTGAGAGCTTCGCTGCTTTAGATTTAAAGAAAAAAATTATGAAAACCCTAGCTACAACAACACCGATCTCTTCGTCCAAATCGTCATCCACCCCCTCCGAATCCAGCAACTGTTATTTTCCAGGCTGCCGAAAAGACGCCAATTGCAACTGCCGAATTTGCATTGCTAGTATGAACGCTGCCTTCGATCTGATGCCAGAGAGCGTCCAGAGGAGCACTCTCACCAAGCTCTCCGCCATGAAGCGCCGCCACTCCGCCACAAGGCACCGTGAGCTTCCTAGAAGCCCTATACTGTTCAACTCTTCGAGCCATTCAACTCCAGATTCCAGTTCTGGTAAGTCCACTTCACTTTTCCCAGAATTGGATTCGGGGTCCGAATTGAGATTTCATGATAAGAAGGAAACGAAGGCAAAGAGATTAGGGTTTGGGGTTCTGATTACAAGGGTTCTGCTTGGATTGGTATTAATTTTCTGGTTTGAGTTTGGGTTATCTCCGATTCTTTCTGGGATGATGGGTCCTGAATTGTCCTCAGAAGCAGTGAAGAGTTTGGGCGAAAAATCCAGGGCTTTGAATGGTTTGAATGAAAGATTGGTGTTTTTGAGGAATGAACTACAAAGATATGTTGGTGAAGAGGTGTCAAATTGCAGCTCTGATAATTCATTGTGGAAAGTTGATCAGGTCTGCTATTTTTTGTTCCCTCCTTGGTGAAACCTTTGAAGATCGTATATTTTTATTATTTTTTTTTAAAGTCGTTTGTTTGAGATGCTTTTGAGTATTAATTAATTAATAACAATGGGTTTTCTACTTTCTAGGATGGGTTTCTTTTACATTCAAGATGCACCTTGTACAAATCTCTTACAGAAGAAGTAAACATTTGGGGATGGCCTCTCCAAACTGCTGGATTGCTTAGTGCAGGATACTGTTCGAGATCATTTACCCTCTTATCAGGGAGATTTACAGAGGTGCGATATCATACTCAAATGATCTTATGGGTCCACTGGAACTCTTGAAATACAAAGGAAATGAATTAAAGTGGAAATTTAATCGAAAAATTAGAAGGAAAATATAGGATAAACTCAATAAATTCACTGTAGATATTTCTCATACTCATTTATTTGGTTATATATCTCTATTACGGAGTATATGAAAACTAGTAATGTTCAAGTTTTTAAGGTGTTTGTCGGTTGGGTTCTAGTTTGGTTGGTTGTATTGGGTCAGTTTTGTTTTGAAAATTAAGAAACAAGTGAAGTGTAAACCAAGCTAAATAAAGTAAGTCATTTTTTATCGACTTCATTTGGTTTATGTAAGTTTTTTTTTTCAGTTCGGGCGGTTTTCCTTGGTTTGCAGTTTTAAGTCGACTCATTTGATTTATGTAGATTTTTGTCAGTTCGGTTGATTTTCAATGTGTAACCCTAAACGTGCAAACAAACTACCTATGGTAAGAATGATTTTGTTCATATCATGTCATTGGTAGATTGGTTTTGGTTTGGCAATTTTTTATGAAGTCCTAGTATTTTTTATTGTAAAGCCAAAAAAAATAAGAAGAAAAAACTCTACCCTTGACTCTATTTTCCTTTTCCCTATGATTTGTGAGGTTCAAGCATACCCTTATATCTTCTACTTAAATTTCTTTTTTTCATTTACACTAAATCTATAATTTTGATATTCTGCTTGAAAATCAGTGGAAGAATGGAGAGTTGGGATATTCAATTCAAAGAGTTAACAGTTCATGGACACAAGGGAGATGGAGCTCTTCAGCCGTTCAACTGGGTCCTCATACATGGATTTTAGAATATAGTGAGATTCCCATAAGGTCAAATACAAAACTGATATCAGCACTGTTGGAGTTTCTGAAGTATAAACTTGCAAAAAAGCTGAAAAGGTTGAAACAACAGTTTTGGCTTTGGGCTGTCTTTAGAAGGAGCCAGATGCGATATCTAGGAGCAGAGAGTTTCAGAGTCCCAACTTAGGCCTGATGACAAGTTTCTAATGCTTCTTGCATTCCTTTTTACATATGCTACTGCTTTTTGTTTAGTGCTTCAAGCTGAACATATAGTCTCTCTGGTCTGCTACTTCTGTAGACATTATTTTGTAAGGCATTAACTGTTGTATATATCTGCTGTCAAGAAATATATGCTTGCTATATAGGCTTTTATCTTGAAAATCTTTTGGAATTGAATTGCAATTCATAGTCTTTAATGAAGCTGGAGAAACCTTAAATTGATGCTTGTCCCACATAAATTACGTTTTGAGAGCTCCCCAGCTCCTTTGCTCCATAGAAAGGACTTGTCCAAAGCTTTCTTCGCCAAGAAGGGCAAACGAGAAAACTTGAAAACAGTTAGAATAGTTAGATAAGGATTATACGGCCAAAATCACTCGATCTATTGAATTTTATGAAGGGAGAGGTTTGTATTTAGCATATAAATGTGTCAATTTAGCCGAACATGTGATTCATATTGAAGAACTTACTAAAATTGTTGAATCGTGGAAAATAGTATTTTAAAAATCTTGTGTGTATCTTGTTAACGAAAAAAGGAAATGACAAACGAAAAGAGATTTTTTTTCAAGTACTTTTTTAGTTTTTAACAATAAGAAAATTTAAGAAACGGAGAGAATACTCGTTCATTCATCATCATTACCCCAGTGTCGCAAAGGCTCCCACCTACGGTGGGGTAAGAGAGGTCGGATGTACGCAGTCTTACTCCTATACTAAAGCACAGAGAGACTGTTTCCGAATGACACGTAGTGAAAATCGCGTCAAAAATTGCATGGGCCAACTGTTACTTCATAACAAAGAAGCGCAGACAGTTTAGTAAGCCATTTTGCTTTATTCCATCATATTCCCAAACAAAAAATAGTGAGTCTTTGGCTCCATTGAAAATGAAGGAAACAAACGGAGAGAATACTATGTAGGAAAAAATGAATATATAGGAACAATTGCATTTTGTTCTTAAAATAGTTTTTTTTAATCTTATTCTAGTTTGGCGCTTCAGTTTCCAAAACTAGATGAGGATGGTGTTTTTTACATTTCTCTCTCTAAGGTAGTTGTCTTTTTTTCTTTTATCTGATTGCTTTAATGTATTTCATTTACTTGTGTAACCTTTTATTTCTTGTGTAACCTTTTATATTTTTAATAAAATCTTGGTAAATGTTCTCTATCAATTACCCTACTGATTGAGTGATTTACCTACCATGTTTTAAAACAAGAATGATAACTAATTTAGGAAGAAAACAAATGGTTGTCCCATTTATACATTTTGCCTATATTTTAATCATATTTAAAAAAAAATCTTTAAAAGCATTGCGTTTTTTATGCATATTTTGGCACAATATTTTTCATTAATTTATTTAAATGACTTTCCGATTGAAAGTTTAAGGTAAAATTCGGTGAAAATAATAAACATTTCATGAAGAACATGCTCAAAAAAATCATCAAAAAAATCCATCCAAAAGCACCTCAAATGGAGGCGGCCGGATGGTGGTTCTGGTTAGATAGGACTAATAGGAACTCGTCCTTCAACTCTAGATGTGGTAACCACTCTATTATTTCAACACCATTGTACCATCACTATTTTGTTCCTTAATTTCTTACACTAAGGTTATGTTTGGTATGATGTAATCAATCATGTAATGAGCATTACGTATTAATTCAAATATAATGTTTGGTATTAAATTTTATTTTAAACCATAATGTAATGGACATTGCGTATGTGAATTGAATTACTTCAGTATGTATAATAATCTTTACGTTAGAAAAGTTATGTATTTGAGATTACACTTACTTGAGAGCACTATCTGTTGTTCCAATTAATTGTTGAGTGTCGTGCTGCTTTCATCACGGGAAAACCAGTATCTGTTGTACACCCAAGTACACCCATGTATTTCAATCATGTAATGTAATGAGGATTACGTGTTGATTCAAATACAATGTTTGGTAAGTCATTTTGTTATAAATCATAATGTAATGTGTATTAGGTATGTGGAATCCAATACTTTAATATATGTAATAGGCTTTACATTATAAAAGTTGTGTATTTGAGATTACACTTTCTTGTATTTCTTTTTGTGCAACCAACTGCTCCCTCTATCGGCAGATGAATTTTCCCCTTTCAAATCTGCACTTCTCTTTTTTCTCGGGTGTTCTGCCATTGCTAACCAAACATAGTAATGTAATATTGATTTCATTCCATTACATTATATTTTTATTGCATTACATACTCTATTCCATTGCATTGCATTACAACATACTAAACATAGCCTCTGTGTCTAGTAGTAAAATAATTTATTACACCGTGTACTCATACATGTGTGAATTATGCCCAGATTTCAAGAGTCGATTAATCTATGAATACTATGAAGAATTTAAACAGTAAAAGAGAAATCTCACCAATAACGTATACCGTGTATATATAATGATGAATTCATGAAGAAAAATTACACAGTACTCGAACGAATAAGCTTGAGAGAGAATTTCTAATCTACTGGCTCTACAGAGAATAATATGCGAAAACAGATTGTGTAGAGACTTAGAGAGCTAATTCGGCCATCTCATCCTATATTTATAGGTGAGAGACTCGATCAGCCCTATTACAATTAGGAAACAATATGGGCCGTGCATGTGGGCTATGTAGAGCATTTAAATCAGGCCTAATTCTCTCTCAGCTAAATAGATTAATTACAAATAAATTGAACACAATAAATAATTATTCTAACATTCTCCCCCTTTGTGTTCAATCTTCGATGAAGCACAATTTCTCTGAATCTTTTACAATGACTTTCGGTAGCCTAGAATGACTTCATAATGTCTGAGATGTCTTCTGAATTGTAGTCTGAATCTTATGGCTTCGACAAAGTCTGTAATGAGAGCAACTTGGATTGGGTCATCTGGATTCTTGGATTTTAGTAGCTTGATTGCAGCTTCTCCCAGATGGTCTTCAATTATTCTAAGTGTACCATCGCAATACTTGTGAATTTCGCTCATGAGTAGACCTCGCTTGATGCCCTTGTAGTTTTTGCAGACGAGTCCTATATCGGGTTCTGTTACGATGGTGCCTTCTTCAAAATTTTCAAACCATTTAGCTCTATTCCTTGGAGCAGTCATGTTCACCATTGTAAGGTTGTTTTCAATGGCCATTTGCAGATCAAAGAGACAATAATATTTGACCTGTCTCATCATGAATCTCTTGAGTGCATTTAGCCCTAGGTCTTTGTCCTTCTGAGATAGATATGCAAAATTGACGAATCTGTACTCGTAGAATAATTGAATAAGATCTTCCTCAACAACGTAGTACAGATCAGCTTCAAACGCTCTTTGGAACATCTCGTTCTGTCGTTCAAACACAAAGATCGGATAGAATGTTCTGCCAATGTTATGAATCTCTATTGATGTAATCCCTATGATAGGTGAATCAACATGCTTAGCCAATCTCTTTAAGTGTCCATATGGATCATTCTGATCAGCAGACATATTTTTCAGCATCCAAATGTGATCGGAGGCGTCTGTTCCTTTCAAATGTTCAAGTCCTCTTAGCTCAAGCTCGTCTATCTTCTTGATTCCTTTCTCACTTCTCCAAATTCGTGGTCTCAGATCTTCTTGGTAAGGCACGATTATCTGGACGTTCTCCCAAGGCGTTTCAACCTTTTCTTCTATATTGGAATCACATGGGCGTCTCTTGATCAGATCTTTGACTATTTGAAAATCAGGAAGTGGATCGTCGTAGAATTCTCCTTGAGAATACTCTTCAGGTTCAAGTCCCATTAGCTTTTCAGCAGCCGTCTTCTTAACTTCTCGAATGAAATTCAGCTTCTTGAGAGCATCTGCGTTGTTCAGCTTCTGAAGATCATCTTTCTCATTGTCTTCTACCCATTCAAGCAATATTAGATCAGCAGATTTCTCTTTGAGTTCATTTTCCTTTGGCTTTGAAGCTTTCTTTCTTGATGATGATGATGGTTGATCAGATTGAGGGATTGCTGAAGTGGGAGTAGATCTAGGCTTTGCAACCTGTGGGACTTGTGAAGTGGAAACCGGAGGGACAGATATGGATAATGTAACACCGGAGTCACAGAGACTTACCGTTTTCATCATACTATAGGAGAGCTCGTTCTGATGGCCTGAAAACAATGGTCATTCATACGTTGCATTGTCAGGTCTTCCTTCCAATCCTTGGTCAACATCCATGAAGGATGAACCTATAGAAGTTCTCGAGAGGACACAAAGTCCTGGCTCAGTGTTAAGGGGCTCGGAAGGGTAACAAACGGTTAAGGCTAGTGAGTCGTTGGGTGCGGTGGAGGATGAAGGTTCAGGTTGAGAAGATGTGGATGGTTCAGAGCTAATGGAGGATGGGATGATTGATTTTGAAGTTGTTTGCTCACAAGTATGTTGCCTTTTCTCCCCCTCATGATGATCCGAATCATCGGCGTCATCATGCTTACGCCTAGGCAAGCGTTCTTGATCATGGCAAGTGGTGGTAGGGATGAATGGTGGGTAAAGGAGAGGATGTTACGTACTTGAATGAGGTGAGGTGGAAGGATGGGTTCGGATAGGAGTCTATCAAGGAAATACTCAGATAAATCAAGAATGTTCATTTGGGTTGGGTCAGGGTGAGAGGTAGATGGAGTGGATGTGGGTATGATGGTAGTAGGTGTAATGGTTAATGGAAGAGTTCCTATGTAGGGAGTTGGGTGTGATCTTTGGTCTGCTACGCCTGTTGGGAATACAGGACGTAGGTTTTGTAAAAGTGAAAGCTTGAAAGCTAGAAGTTCAGACCTCAGATCCTCCCTAGTTAAACTAGCAAAGGAAGAAAAACCTGACCTAAATGAAGTATCAGTTCTCACAGCATCACTAAGAATAGCGGTGACATGGCCTGCTGGGGAGTGTAGTGTGGCAGGACTTCCAACCATCATTGACGTATCTCTGGTTGTTATGACAGGAGATAATGAGCCTGTATCAGTGTGTGCAGAAATAGAAGGTTGTGCCCTCGAAAATGATAAAAATTCTGGGATTGTGGACACAAGACCTAACTTGCATTGGCTTGCAGTGAGGGGCGGTTCACTGATGGGTTCCCCTTGTTGAGTTGAAACAACCATCTGTTGGGAGACGATCGAGTGGTCTAAGCTTGGCTCATTTTGCGCTATTGAACTCGATGTAACGACTTCTACTCGGGAACTGACAAGGTCAGAACCTGTACCTATGGGCTGAGTTCGGTTTATTTCGGT